ATACAAAAAAAAATACCTGAAGTGTGCTGGCTTTCTGAAGATTGCATTGTCACTGTTTTTTTACTCTTTTGAGCTTGCTGAACTTCTGAAATGTTTTGACCTAAAATGTATGCTTATGATAAAAAGCATTTAATAGAATTTTTATAAATTTACCTATACCTTGCGATTTTAACGAACTTGATAATGAACAATGCTTGTTTTGTTTATCACGTTTTTCTTCTGCAGTAGTTCTCAAGTTATTTAAAATATTACTAACGATTTTCTGATGCAATTCAATTTCCTCTAATTGAGAAAGCAACATGTTTTTTAAAAGAGGATAATCATCCTTATATAAATTACGAAATTTTTCATCAGCTTCAATGACATATTTTAAAAAATCTAGATCATCCTTCGAAAGGAATAATTTTCTTTCATTGGTAGGGTTTTCCAAATATTTGTTTAATAAATTTTTAAAATTCATTAAAACTTTGAAACTGTTCTCCATTTTTAAGTTTTTTTCCTTATTTAGCTCATGTGGAAAATTTTGGCAAATTTTATAATTATCTTCAATAGTTAGATCGACATTTTTAGTAACATTGCTATTGTTATTGCATTGATCATTGGATACTAATATTTTAGGCTCATTTTCCACTTTATTAGAAACTTTTGTTTCTTTCGTTAATAAATTTAACAATTTATTTCTTTCATCTTCGGTTCCAGAACTGTCGGAACATTCTCTAAACGTTTTTGAAAACATAATTTCTTTTACAGAATCATGTTTTTGTAATTTCATATTATTTAAACGAGCTGTAAAATATTTTTCCTCGGAATCTAAATTTCTCGGAACTATTTTGGAAATTTTTTTTGGTTTTCGATTAATATGAAAAAATGGATTTAAATTGTTAACACGCAATTTTTTGGAACCTCTCTCCACATCAACATTTTGTCGTATAAGTTTTTCAATAAGACAAACTAGATTATTAGTACATTTTGCATTTTGGACAATTTTACTATTTGACTTTTGCTTTTGCGTTTTAATATTCGGCGGAAGTTTAAGTTTTTTTGGTGATACTCTAATTTTTGCGTCCTTTTGCTTACGTACAGTACTGTATCCTGTAAATAAATTTATGTTACTGAAAATTTAAAATTTAAACGTACATTTTTATTCACCAGATTTGGTTCTAGGCGAGTCAAATAATTTTTTTAAATTGACAGAATTTTTTACAACTTTATTTAAATTATTATTAAAAATTTTTTGATTGTAAACTGGATTTATTGGTATGTCATTCCTGTTGCTCAACATTTTAAGCTGCAAAATTCTTGAACAATCCTATATGTTTTTTTCACAGTACTATCTTCTTTTACAGGCAAAAGCTGCTAAATTTGAAGAAAATTACTCTTACAGAAATATTAAAATAGCTATGAATGTACAAAAAAATCTTTCCAATAAAATGATTTTATATTGACAAAAAATAAATTTTGAAAATTAATGCTTAATAAAATTTTAAATTTTTGAAAAAAAAACCTAAATTTATTTTGTTTTTAAAAGTTTTTAAATAAATTTTTTTAAGATTTCGTTTTTAAGTCAAGAATCTAATATTTACATATTATGTGGCTAAATATATACTAACTATACTCATGATTTCAACTAAATTATAAACTCTGGCTTATTTAGGAGATAATTTTAACGGCAAGCAATCGCTAAAGCGATATTTCATTTTAGTTAGATAAGGGAATTCAATTACAATGTTGTGGTATATTTGGACAATTGCTGGAATATTTTGTATTCTTTTGTCTATTTTCATCAAGATTATCCGATTATCAAATTTTTCCTACCCGAACTGAATGAGTACAATTGTAAACCGCTGTTTGCTTTTATTAACCTTTTAAATTTCTAATAATCTCAAAACTGATGCAACCTCAAGAGTGTAGCTAAAATAAGAAAAAAATGTAATCAATGCACAAAATTATTGACACCCTACAAAACTTGAGAAATTTTTTTTCTCAAAACATGGGATTAATTTGGGGTTGGGAATTATTCAAAATATGGGATTGAGATTATTTTAGTGAACAAATGATAATTTTGATTAAATTAACAGAAAAATATTTAAAAAAAAACAACAAGTCTCTACATTTAATAATAATAAATGCAAATAATAATAAATGATAAAGAATTATGAAAATGATCATGAAAATTATCTTTACTAAGATTTAACAGAATTTTTACAGAATTTCTTATTGAATAATTAGTAGAAATTTTATAATAATTAGAAAGCTCACTCGTTTTACTATAACTACTAATACTCATTTACCATACTGGAATAATATAAAACAAAACCTTTATTAAATAAGTTTTCTTTTGAAATAGTGAATATTATTCTTTATGCAATAACGGTAAGCTAGATTGCCAAGGCTAGAAACAGTGGCTTGTGAACTCTGTGTCCGGATTTAGGTCTTAATCTTTAAGAATTTTAAAATTTTGCTTTATAATATGAAATATGGGGACCTCAGTTCAAATCCAAATTTTACATTTTAAAAAAATTGCGAGAAATCTTGTTATTTAAAACTGCACAGCAATAAAACTACTAATGCAGCGTTGTCAACAAATATTCTGGTGTAGTCTACTATTGTAGATTACACCAGATCTTGCTTTTCTGGGACCCTAGAGAGAGGCAAAACTCCAATTCTTGCTTTTCTGTTAATAATGTTAATATAATTTTGATTGAATAAAAATATTTCACTTATTTTCTTATTTTTATATTTAAATACAATGTAGGCAAAATTTGTGTTCGAACTCATGTCACTACAATACAATCGAAACTTTAAATAGCAAACTCAAATTTCATCAAATTTCATTTAAAAAAAAATTATTGCATACAAAAAAAAAAATTTTTTTAAAATGTAAAATTTGGATTTGAACTGAAAGGTAAATATGTGTTTGTGTAGGTATGCATATAAATTTAATTCAATCATTTCATTAGAATAAAAAAAAAACGAATTTCTTGTTAATTAAGTTTAGGAGCATTTCAAGTATTTGATAGTAACCTTCATAGTTGAACTAATAGTTTAAGTTTTTTCACTTGAAGATCTGATTTACAGAAATGGAGTCTTAAAAATTAGAAAATTTTGGAAGATGCAAGGCGGTTTTTCATATATTATTTCAGACCCCAATAAAATAACATTGGAAAAGAGAAAAACTTAGAAATTCTTTTTAATTTTTCGTAAAACTTTTAGAAGTTTTTGTTTGTTTATTTTTTTTATTTAATAATTTATAAATTTATAAAGAAACCTTAAGGCCAATTTTCAACTATTTTTTAATTGTATACGAAAATTTCTTGTTTTTTTTTTGTTTTGTTTCTTTTTTGCTAAAAGATTTTTATTTATTTGACCTGTTTGAGTTTAAAAATTTATTAAAAATAACTAAAGGGGTGAATTATGAAGAGTTATTACTTTATTAAAACCACAATATTGTGGATAGACAACTTTTAACACTTTGGTTAAAAGAAAAAAAATACGATTTAAAACTAAAATTAAATTCACCTTTCAATACGAGAAAAATTAATTTTGTTTAACAAAAATTAAAAATTATTGATTGGGGCGAAAATTTCAAAAAAAAAAATTGTTTCCTTTATTTTTAATTGAAAAAAAAAGAAATTTTAAATAAAAGTTCTATTGACTCTTCTTTATTTTTAAGTAAAGGTTACGGAAATTTTTCAAAACCTTCAAAACAAAATTAAATTTTAGGTGAAAATAAAAGAAGAAATTTGTGGTAATGGCATTAATAACAAAAAAATCATTATTTTTCAAGAAACGTTCGTAAAGACATCAAAGCCAGACGAACATAATTTTAAATTTAATTAATAATTTTTATTTGGAAATTTTGTTAAACTCGGATTAGTCTTGACAATGTCGTAGGATTCGTACAAAGGTAAAAAAGCAAAAAGTAAAATTTAAGTATAAAATAACTGAACTCCTTTTTATAAGAAAACCGGATATACTCGTAAGCAACGAAAATCGTGCAATTTTGTGATGTATAACAAATATAATACAACCAATAATAAATATATGAACTTCTTGAAAAATTAACAAAATATAAATATTGTAAAACATAAGTTTAAGAATAACTTATTTCATTTTAAGAATAATTTTAAGAGAAAACACTTAAATCCCTGTAAGAAACCGTCCCAAAATCCAAAACGTTTACTATATTTCAAAGAAATGGTAAGGAAGATTTTCCGCAAAGTAAACGTAAACGAACGTATGTGGAAAGAATAATGAAGCGAAACTTAGAGGAATGAAAACAAGGAAATGCTGTACTTTACTCATTATATCATGTCCCTATTTCAAACGAGCATCTAAATTTGTATGATGCCTACATTTAGTAGTTTATATAGAGAAGTTATTCTTATATTTTAAATAAATAGGTACATTTAAATATATACATTCAAATGTAGGTAACATAACACTTTCCTCGGTTCCTAACGTTTAGGTTATTATAAGTCGTTGTATTTTTTAAAGCTTTTCTCTTTATGTTTAAGTTTTTCAGTTAAACCATTGTGTGCAATAGTTTACAGTACTATACAGAAGACAATTTTTGTGATTACACAATAAGCTACTTTTTCGAGGAGTGCTAATAATAACTTTCTTTAATTTAAAACAACGGCACTGAAAAAAAAAGTATTTGATAATTACAAATATTGTCTTCTACATAGCACAATAAACTTAATACCCAATAGCAAAACTTAGGAATACCATTTAGAAACATAATCTGTCTACTTTTAAGAATTTGACAACATTTTAAAATTTCCTTAATTTTAGACACACACATATGTTACATGCTTTATTTGCTTTCGGGAGCAGTAATAAAAAACATTTTGACATTTTCCTCCTTATCACTGCCGATGCACACGCAATAATCGCAAGCTTCCAACAGTTAGAAAACTTACCTTTACATTTAAAATTAACATTTTAATTTCTGACCGAATCAAAAATTCTATTAAATTCATCGCAGAATAATAGTGAAATTCTGAGAAAATTTTTTTATTGTATTTGAACATTTATTGAATTAAATTTTTTTTATTAAGCTACAGTTTTTTTCACAATGTATACATACATATAATTTTTTTTTATTTTTAATATTTTCAAATTGCTACAAAATTTTTATCACTCATAGCTCTGAGTTAAAAAAAAAACTATGGAATCATAAAAAAAAAACATTAAAGTTTTCCAGCAAATGTTCCTTGTTCTCTTTGATCATCCCATTTTTCTACCCATTCTCTTGGACACATTGCAGTGAAAACTTTTTTAAAATATTGGCATGGTTCATAATCAACACCACGAATTCTCTGGCAGCGATAAAAATCTACATATGATGACCAGCAATGGCGAGTTTGATTTTGATTCGGGAATCTAGGATCAAAAGGAGCAGTTTCCAATTTGATTTCTGGTTCGCTGGCCGTTTTTGTCATATTGGAATTATTACGATACCTGAAAATAGCAAACAAGGATGAAAATATTAGAAAATTGAAAATAAAAATTTTAAATACATATGTAAGTATATATGTATGTACACCTTTTTAAAACTATAATGTGTTATTAATTTTAAAGTATGGGTTTTTTTATATTTTTAATTAACAGTAGACAAAAGATTTACTTTAAGGCGGATACCTTCAGAAATGTAAAAACTCGATTTATTTGTATTTACAAACAATTACGACAATAATACTTCACTATAAGCGGGAAAAGCTTCCTCAACGTAAATGTCAACAAATTTATTGTATTGATAAAATTGCACTGTTTCTCTAAAAAACTGAAAAAGTGTTTCCCTAAAGTCGAGAAAATCTATAATTTCTCTTATTTCGAGAACTAGTTTTTTTGTTTTACATTATCCTTTTAAGCTATAGCGATTCTCGATTACATTTCAAAAAGTTTGCCTTTATTTCGACCTTCAAGTATCTTGGTTACTCGAGAATCAAAAGAAGAAACAAAAATATTAAAATTGTTTTTTGAATTAATGATTTATCGATTTAAACGTGACGTAACCGTAATGTTATCAACAGGACATTTTTTTCTGCTTACTACATAAGTTTATCTGATAAGAATTATATAACTAATTACGCTAATTGATTTTGCATAAAAAATTTTGTAAAATAACCAATTAATTTAATATTTCAGAATTAGTACACACTCTTGTTAAATAATGCAAAACAAAAAAATATTATTTTGACTGTCATAAATGAAAAACAAATTATGATATCAATTTAACAATATGAAAATTTTTTGTCTAGTAAACATTCAAAAAATTTTTTAAAGCACATTTTTATTTAAAACATTTTGTTTTCTTACCCGAACATTGCGAAATTTGAAGCGTCTATTTTTCTGTTTTATTTAAAATAAAACTTGGGTAGTTTATTTAATATTATTGTTTGTTATTTTAAACCTATTTCTTTTGTAATAAAAAAAAGATATGATTTCAACTTCCTCAACTGAGTTTGACTTCTGTCAAATTTCTATGTGTGTATACACGTATATTATGTATAAACATTAAATTTTATACATGAATTCATTAAAATGAACTTTCACTTTTTAAGGATTTTAAAATCCTTACTTTTTATCACTCAAACAATGAATTTATTGCGCATGTTCTTATAAAAAAAACAAGGGTTTCTTTTCAACAGGGATAAAATAACACACAGAACGTTTTTTAGAAATCAGTCCATATACTGTCAAATTGACGTTTAAACTTCACAATATTTTAATTTTAAAAATATGTATGTAATTATAAGGAAAGAATTCAATATTTAATTTTTTCTATAGGTAATGTTGAAGTTTTGTCATTTATCAAACGAATTTCGAGTTCTTACTTTCAAAAATGCACTGAATTTACTAGTATTATGTAATTACTGAAATGTAACATATCATTTCACAAAGAATATGTTTAGAAATGATGACAATTCTTCTGTTTCAATAAATTACCCTAAAATTTCAAGTTATTCAAATTATATTAAATTATTTTGATTTATGAAAAGTATTTACATACATACTTATATTAGAAAATGAATACCCTGGCTTATACATTATGTACATATACATACATATGTATATGTACATATATACATGCATATATGATCCTATGGAAAACATATCCTTGTTTTGTACACAATTATATACATATGTATTACAAATATACAAAAGAAGGGTGGTTAATAATGTTATATCAATAGTTCAATAAGAATTTACTATAAACGGAATTACTAATGGAATAAAAATTATTCGAATTTACCAAAATATTTGATATATTTTAAAATTTTCTCATAAAATAAGAATTTACGATTTTCACATTTTATAATTTAGACGTGCACGAAAAGTTCTAAATTAAATCATAAAAGTTTTTCGCACCTACTTACAAATCTGCAGAAACTGAATATTTTACTTTTTTCAATAACCAACATTTTCCTGTTATGCGCTCTAACTTAAAATTTCTTAAGAACTTCAAGCATAACTGTAATTTTCGAATATGCTATTTTTACAGATTTTGCACTTTGAATTTATCCAATTAAGAAATAAGTTACAACTAGTGAATTATAGAAAATTCTCATATACATATATTTATAGTATTATTAATAGTAATAGATACTTGTAATTAATTATTGTTATTGACTTTCGGTTTATTTATTTTATTACAATTTGTGTCCTGAATTGATTTAATGCTATAAAGAGTTTTGTTCAAAGCATTGTAATAGGAATAGGCATTTCAGTTCTACAATGATGAATTATATAGCCTTACACAAGCAACTTATTTGACTAACAAATCTACTCCCATTACTTAAACTAAATAGTCGAATAATAGTCTAAATTATTTTTAAGTTCAAGAATATAGTTAAAACTCACACTCAGTAAAAGTTGAAGTATGTTTTTGCAATTCAATTCCCCAAAAAATTTACTAATTTACTTAACTTTCGTGAGCAATTGAAGTATGAATTTTTATGAAGTTCAAGAACAAAACATGATTCAGTTAGTTATGTTTTAGACATGGTGAAATAATGAAATTGACAAATAATAATCCAAATAATAATTAATAATTAAGAATTCAAATTAGTTATATTTCTACCAAATGTTTATTTTTATCGCTCCCTTGACCAACAGCTACTAAAGGAAGAGCAACTCAATCGAAAATAAAATAAAAAAGTTCATAGATACTTAAATGAAGTATCCTATAGCCTACGGCCTAAGTTGTCCACGTTAACATCCCAACATCTAAAATATACTGCGAGAACCATAAAATATTCCCGAAGTATTGAGGTCGATAATACATGTATTCAATGATACGTACTTAATGTACATACACATAAATACATCAATAAAAATAAAAAAAATTTATGGTTGAAAAGTAATTTATACTTATCTTTTTACAAGTAAATTTGCTAACCCCAATAATATTCCAATAATTTCTATGAGAATAACACAATCAATATTTAATCCTCCAATAATGATATTATTTAGAAATTTAATTTTGAAATAGAATTTAGACAAGACAAAAAAAAAACTTCGAAAATAAAAACTTATACTTAATATGCTTATGATATAAATATGACTTTAAAATGTACCATTGGTACCATTATTATATTTTTATACACTGTAGCTGTATTATAAAGAAGTTTTTGTAAAACAACTTAAGATTTCTTCTAAAGAAAAAATGTAATAATATTATATTGAAAATACATGAAATACTTTGCAGATAACCTAAACTTCTTTCAATAGAAATTTCAATTCTTTTGAAATCACATCTAAATTATTATTGTCTACTTCTAGTTTTAAAATTAATGGTATTAGAATTTTTATTTTTTTTTTGTTGAATTTTCACAAATATTCTTTAAAAATCTTAAGAAAAGTTTTTCTTTGTTAATTTTCCTTTTCAGAGGAAAAGATTACTTTGTTTTTGTAATTGAAAATTTTGTTTTTTAAAGTTCATCAGAAGTTTTTTTTTTGTTGAATATTTTAGAAATTTCAAATCGATTTCTTAAAAAATTATTATTTTTTCTTTATATTTGTGTTTAAGACTACTAGTAAAATACTGTTGAATCCCAAGAGGAATTAAATTGGACAATATCATATTTAAGTAGATACTTAGTGTGTCTGTAACGTACGCAACTAGATTACAAAGCTACCACATGACATAAAACAAATATAGAAAGCATATTAATTCATTTACTATGTTACTCTTATAACCTTATAATCTGTAGGTAACTACAACTTTGAAATGGAAATTTGAACTCATGTGTTGTCAAATTACTGATATTATGCTCTAATCTACAATCTTCATATTTGTAAGTTTCTGCTATTATATGAAAGAGTTTTCTTAAAATTTTAAATTTAAAAAAATTTTTACTTCAAGATTTATGTTCCTTGTAACATTGATACATAATTCTTGAAGCTCTAACGTCTTGAATATGGGTATAACATATCTTAACCATGTCTTATTTATTTCGGTTTCAATTGCTCATTGTTCCTTAAGTAGCTGCTGATCATTACTAATAGTCAAAATTACCATTGCATTTGTTATTTTTACCAATACTACCATTCATTTTTTTATATATGTATGTATATAGTACTAAAACTGAAACTGGTAGAATAGAATCCTAGTTATTTTGATTCCTAAAATTATAATAAAAACAAAACAATTTAGTAATTGCTGATTATTTGATTTACAAATTGAAAATTTAATATTGAATTATATATTAACTACGCTTCTAGCAAAAATATATATGTCAGGATTACGTATTAGGATATTAAAAACTTACTATTATGTACTTCTTTTATGAAACCTACACGATACAAATTGCCAAATTTTTCTTTTTAAGGATTTATAGTCTTTACACTTTTATAAATTACTTTTTTATAGGTCTTTTCCAAAGACAAAACAAGAAAATGTTAACAATAACGGATTAAAGACTTTTGTGTGTCAAAATAAAAAAAAATAAATTTAATTCCTTAAATTATTTTATTTTATTCTTATAATTCAGGCAGAATAACTCGATTTTTATTTAATTATAAATTATGAATTTATTGTTAATAGCACAGTGGAATGTTAATATTTTTTACAAGCTGTTATAGCAAAAACTGCATATTGTAAAAGTACATTCTACAAAACCTCAATTTTTTCCTTATTTTTTAAGAAAATATTCTGCATTATCCCACTATCCATATCTTTAATTATTTGCATTTTATATATATATTTCAAAAGATAAGAAAGCAACAGCTTTACATAAAAGAGCATATATTCTAATTTACTATATTATGTATTACACATCAATACTGTACATAGATAGGTAGACACTTATTATTTAATATTGGCATATTTATAGCACATTATGTTCTAAAAATTTTGTTCAAGAAAACTCAACTATATGTATTAGAAGAATTATTAAAAGATTAACAAAAATTTGTAGATAGTATAAATAGATAAACTATATAGATAAACTACCTATACCTGCGTACTTAATATTTCATTTGAGAAACTGCGTTATAGTTAAAAATGCACATATTATTCCTGAAAAAAAATCTAAAACTTAAATTGAAAAATGTTCTTAGAGTTTCTAACAAATTAGAGATTTTATCAATTTTATGCTCTTTACTAAATGGTTATTATTTAGTATGCAAGATGTATAGTGGCTTCATCGATATTCAAAAAATATTATTAATTGTATTTTTTATCTATTCAGGATAAAAATATGATAACAACCTACGTGGTAGATTTATATTACCAAACATTCTGATTATGCTGAATATTTAAGGTTTCAGTGAACACATAAGGTAAGAGTAAATATTTTTAATTATATTCCAAGATACACACAATAAATTT